TTTAGAGGCTTTAAACACCAAGAGAGGGGCGCCTGGGTGGCCACCTCATGTGTAATTAAAGAAAACAAAACAAAAAAAACAGTAAACACTAATCTGTGACATGAGGATTGGATGTCCCGCAAAATACTCATTTTCCCTCCATGGTGATTACTTCAATATTTGTTCTTGGAAAGCTTAATTTGTGCTTATTGGTGTATAATTTACACATAAGGAATTTATAAATATACAGTTTAATTCTCCTTATGAATACACCCATATCAAGATACAGAAAATTTCCAGCACCCTAGAAGGCTCCAGGGAAGTCAATACCACCCCGCCACAGGTAACCATTATTCTAACATCTATCACCATAGATTAGTTTTGCCCATTTTTAACTTCATATAAAAAGAGCCACGTCGCATGAATTCATTTGTGTTTGCATTCTTTCATCCAGTATTGTCTCTGGTGGTGCGGCGGCAATTTGCTCGTTCCCACTGTCGTGTAGTATACCACATTCCGGTATGTGCTCTTCGTTGCATGCATTCATTTGTTTGCTTATGTATATCCAGGAGTGGAATTGCTAGGTTATCTGATAAACCTAATGTTTATTTTTGAAATGATAAATCAGTCCAAAGAATTTTGGGGATGTCCCTGTTAATGTTGGTGCTAGGTACTGTTCTAACCCCCATGAAGTAGCTACTCTTATTACTTTTGCTCTACCAGTGAGGAAGTAGAGACCCTTAGAGGAGAGGTAATTTGCCTACAGTCACAGATCCGGAAAGCCTTGCAGAGCAGGCTGTAGAATTTGGGCTCTTAGCTGTTAACCTTTTCAGCCTCCTAATACAGCTTTGGGCCTTCTCGGGTTCCAGGCTCTGTACTAGGTTCTTTTTTTTTTTTTTTTAAGACTTTATTTATTTATTTGACAGACAGAGATCACAAGTAGGCAGAGAGGCAGGCAGAGAGAGAGAGAGCAAGGGAAACAGGCTCCCTGCTGAGCAGAGAGCCCGATGTGGGACGTGATCCCAGGACCCTGGGATCATGACCTGAGCTGAAAGCAGAGGCTTTAACCCACTGAGCCACCCAGGCGCCCTGTATTAGGTTCTTTACGTTTATTCTCATTTATTCTAACAACTCTATTATGGTTGGGTGTATTTTTGTGTAATTGATGAGCTTTTGGTCTATCTTCCATCACTCTGGCTATTGCCACGTACTGTTTATTATAGTTGGCATTTGGAGAGTGCTTGTTGAGTAAAGAGAAAGATTTTTGAAAAGAAGACACTAATTCTCTAAGAGTGTTATGCCATTTATTCATGCCAAAAACATTTAATGATAGAGCCAGGTATAGAAGGAATTAAGGACGCAGATTCAAAAAAGACATGGTCTCTCCCTTAAGGTGGTCACAGAAAGGAAGTGAGAGCAAAGTCAAAGCACCTTACGGAGTGGTAAGTGCCAGCACCAGGATATGAACAGAGAGGGGGTACACACTGAGGCGGTGTGTGTGGGAAGGGAAGACCTCATGAAGGAGCAGGTGGTATCTGGGCTGAACCCGGAAGGACGGGGAGGGTTCTGCCAGGTCAAGAGGAGGACAAAGCATTCTAGCCAACGCCACTGTACGCGCGATGGCAGGTAACTGCGGACAGGCCTTGCTCAAACGGTGTGCGGCTCAGTATGCAGTAGGCTGAGGGTGGCGCTGAGTGAGGCGGTGGTAGAGGGGAAGGAAGAGGAACATGGTGGAATGGAGCCAGGAGACAAAATAAATATTTGATTAACTAGATTGCCTGGAAAGGAACTCAGTTGCCTGGTCTAAAAATACCAGTTGCCTTCTTGGGATCCTGTTTTTCCCTCTCCTCCCTGCTTGTGCTTTCTTTCTCTCTCAATAAATAAATCTTTTTTTTTTTTTAAGATTTTATTTATTTATTTGACAGAGAGAGATCACAAGTAGATGGAGAGGCAGGCAAAGAGAGAGAGAGAGAGAGGGAAGCAGGCTCCCTGCTGAGCAGAGAGCCCGATGCGGGACTCGATCCCAGGACCCTGAGATCATGACCTGAGCTGAAGGCAGTGGCTTAACCCACTGAGCCACCCAGGCGCCCTCAATAAATAAATCTTAAAAAAAAAAAAAAAGAAAAAGAAAGAAAGAAAGAAAAAGAAAAATCTAAAAAAAAAAAAAAATCCCAGTTGCCTTCTTGTTGAAGGAACTAAGAACCAGCCTGTTTGTGATGCTGCACTACTTTTACGGATGGCCTGCTCTATTTCTTGTTTTACTAGCTCTGGTAAGAGCGCTGGGCAAAGAGCTCTGGGGAGCGATAGACAGTAATTGAGCCTCATATAATTTGTAGGATATTGGCCTATCTAGACTTATCTAATAAGGTTTTATAGCTGGATGGAATCTCATGTGCTAAATCTAATTTCTCTCATTCTCTTACTTTGTTTAATAGAGGAAGAAAGAGTGGCCGTGTAAGTGAAGTGGCCTCCTGCAGCCCAACACCTAGTGAGTGAGGCCGCATGAACGCCCTGAGAGCACAGGTTTTGAGTCAGGCAGACTCAAGTTCAGATCACGTCTCAGTAAATGGCTGTGTCCCCTTCAGCAAGCGCTTTAACTTCTCTGAGCCTCACTTTCCTTATCTGTGACACAAACAATTGTCACAGGTAGCCCCTAGCGTAGAGCTTATCACATAATAAGGTTCCGTATAATCTCTTTGCCCTTCACCTTTCCTAATAGCAGCGGGTCACTGACACAGAAGTAAAAATGAGACCAGAGGTCAAAGAGAAGGGGAGGTCAGCTGCCCCCTCAAGCAGAGCTTCTCAAGGTGCCAGAGTTGTGGTGGGGTCCCCACTCTCTGGGTTCGGACCCTATAGGTCTGAAAAGTTGACACGATCAGAACTTCCAGAGGGTACTGGCTCACTGGGGAGAGAACTTATACTACCAAAACACACAAGAAACTTATGAATAGTCTAGAATGCATGGTCATTACCCTCTAGTGATATATCTTCTCATAACTGGCTCACCCCTTCTCAGTCTCATATTTGTATCTGGAAGTAGAATAATCGGAAAGTGGTTAATTGAACCTAGAATCTGAGCTAAGAGAGACAGTCAGAACTATTTCACCCAGGTTGTGAGAAAAGGCTGAGCTTTTCCCAAGGACCCTTCTATAATAGCCTAAACCTTCGTGTCTAGCAGACAGATAAATATACATTCTTAGTGCTGGAAGAACAACACATTCCTACTGTAATTGCCCTGTTGAGACTCTGTGTGGACCACCTCTTTCTATTAACACATGCATCTTCTACCGTGATAAAGCTGATGGGGTTAGAATCACCTTCGGGTACATTCTGCTATTGAAAAAACGTTTGATTGGACGTGGGTGTTTCACAAATCTACACCAGTATTCTTACCAGGGATAATCTCTACAGATAGCTGATTTTAACTTCCAGAGTTTAGATTTCCTCTATTTTCCAGTTTCAGCTATCTTTATCCCCTTTGCCTTGCAGGTAGACCGTACTTGATAAAGGCCAGTTCAATAAAGGTGAGGATGAAAGAGAGAACATCTGAAATGGGCTCAAGGAAGAGGGTTTAAGTGTATTCTTTTTTTTTTTTTAAGACTTTATTTATTTATTTGACAGAGAGAGATCACAAGTAGGCAGAGAGGCAGGCAGAGAGAGAGTAGAAAGCAGGCTCCCTGCTGAGCAGAGAACCTGATGCCGGACCGATCCCAGGACCCTGAGATCATGACCGGAGCTGAAGGCAGAGACTTAACCTGAGCCATCCAGGCACCCTGTCTATTCTTTGTAACATTCTAGGGTGCAAATGGAGTGAGGGATGTAGAACACTCCAGGGTGGGAAGCTGAGGAGAAGGAAACAAGATTCTCAGTAAAGATTTCTCTAGAAGGCGGGTGGAGGATGAAGGAAAACAAGTCTGCTGGGCTGTTGCTGAAGTTTAAGAGAGCAATGGGGAGGCAGACAAGAGCACGGAGAAAAGGCTGAAGAGAAGTTAGGGAAGTGACCGGATATGCTGTTGAGATGCAGATAAGGGTAGACTCTGGCTTAGGTTGTATTCAGAGAAAGAGCAAACAGAGGCGACTGGGGCCGTTTGGATAGTTCGAACTGTTGGGACAATTGGGCTGAAGTACCCGGTAAGCAGTTTGGGGTCAGGGTCTGAGCTTCCGGAACAATCTGAATGTCTATAATTGAAAGCATGGAAGTGGGAAGACTCCCCGGAAGAGTGAAGGGTGGAGGGGGGTGTTGGGTAGGAGGCAGAGCCCAGACGGACACCGGAATGTAGGGACGGGCAGAGGAAAAGGAGCAGGAGGAGGGAAGTCGGAAGACATCTTGAAAGCCAAGGAAGCAAGTTTCAAGGCGGTATCGGTTGCCTCCTGGAGGTCAAGAGCAGGAAGACAGATGTCGTCCAGTCCTTGGTTACGTGGATTCCGAAGAGCGTAGGCGGCTGGGGGTGGGGCGAAGCCACACCGAAGGCCACGATTCTGTTGCAGAGAAAGCAGACGGCCTTAGTAACATATTCTTTTGGAAGTCTGGCTGTGAAGACAGAAAAGGCGGGACTTGGAGGGTAACTTAAAGCTCAAGGGGATAATCAGCTTCAGAATCCGTGTCCTTGAGTGGGAGCAATTTGCTGGAGGCCCTCTGGAGACCTTGTGTGTCCTTCTTAGGATTGTTCTTCTAGCTCTGTGAAGGGGGGGCGGAGCGGAGAAAACGACCTCCGCCCTTCTCTAAACTAGAAACAAATAATGCCATTCAGTAAAAGGCAAAACAAAACAGCGTTTGGTCTGAAAGCCTTCTTTCTTTAAAAATCCTGGCATGCAAATAAGGGTCTTTAATGTGGCTCCCAGCGATTGGTAGGTACTTACGAAATTCGTCATTTCCTCGTAGTGCAGGATGCAAACGAAGAGGCTGCTTTCTGCCTTCCTATTGGCTGTTTCACTGGGCTACTTCCCTTCACCCCTCCCGGTAGCTCTTATAAATTACACCAAATTGGTTATCCTTTCCACTTCCTTCTCCTTGAATAAGAAGCTGTGACTGCATTTTTGGCCGTAATGTCAGGACGCGGAAAGCAGGGAGGCAAAGCTCGCGCCAAGGCCAAATCGCGGTCGTCTCGCGCCGGCCTGCAGTTCCCGGTGGGCCGAGTGCACCGGCTGCTGCGCAAGGGCAACTACGCCGAGCGGGTGGGGGCCGGCGCGCCGGTGTACCTGGCGGCGGTGCTGGAGTACCTGACGGCGGAGATCCTGGAGCTGGCGGGGAACGCGGCCCGAGACAACAAGAAGACGCGCATCATCCCTCGCCATTTGCAGCTAGCCGTAAGAAATGACGAAGAGCTCAACAAGTTACTTGGGGGTGTCACCATTGCTCAGGGCGGCGTCCTGCCCAATATCCAGGCGGTCTTGTTGCCCAAGAAAACGGAGAGTCACAAGCCTGGCAAGAACAAGTAATTAGGAAGGTCGAGACCGTCCCCACTAACCCCAAAGGCTCTTTTAAGAGCCACCAAAACGTCAACGGAGGGGCTGATAACGAAATAGCGCACTAGCTCTTTTTTTGATAACTTGGGTGGCTCTAAAAAGAGCCTTTGGTCTTTGGCTTGTCAGGGTTTTATTTACTTTTGGCTTTGTGGCTTTCAGTTTTCTTTGGTAAGAGAACAGCCTGGATGTTGGGCAGGACGCCGCCCTGGGCAATGGTTACTTTGCCCAACAGCTTGTTGAGCTCCTCGTCGTTGCGGATGGCCAGCTGGAGGTGGCGGGGAATGATGCGCGTCTTCTTGTTGTCTCGGGCCGCGTTCCCCGCCAGCTCCAGAATCTCCGCCGTCAGGTACTCCAGCACCGCCGCCATGTACACCGGCGCGCCGGCCCCCACCCGCTCGGCGTAGTTGCCCTTGCGCAGCAGCCGGTGCACTCGGCCCACCGGGAACTGCAGGCCGGCGCGGGACGACCGCGACTTGGCCTTGGCGCGGGCCTTGCCTCCTTGCTTGCCACGACCAGACATGATTGACAGTGAGGCTAAAACACCCAAAGAACAGAACCTCACAACAAAACAATTGAAATGTCTACGGTTGAAAAGCCTTTATAAGCTTTGCTAGGGGTGGGGTCATGAACGAGCTTTTCATTGGTCCTAAATTGGCTCCAGAACTGGCCAATGAGGCCAAGAGTAGGTGTTGTTACGTAGCCATTGCTGATAACGCAAGGTTCCTACAAGGTCCAATGGAAACGAAGGGCTTTTGGAGCCCTAATTTGCATACGGTGGTTATAAAAGGATCAGGCCCGCCCATTCTCGCACTTCTTTTCTTTGCTAAGGCGTTTGGTGTTTTATAATGCCTGAGCCGGCAAAATCTGCTCCCGCGCCCAAGAAGGGCTCGAAAAAGGCTGTCACCAAAGCCCAGAAGAAAGACGGCAAGAAGCGCAAGCGCAGCCGCAAGGAGAGTTACTCCATCTACGTGTACAAGGTGCTCAAGCAGGTGCACCCGGACACCGGCATCTCCTCCAAGGCCATGGGCATCATGAACTCCTTCGTCAACGACATCTTCGAGCGCATCGCCGGCGAGGCCTCCCGCCTGGCGCATTACAACAAGCGCTCCACCATCACGTCGCGGGAGATCCAGACGGCCGTGCGCCTGCTGCTGCCGGGCGAGCTGGCCAAGCACGCCGTGTCCGAGGGCACCAAGGCGGTCACCAAGTACACCAGCTCCAAGTGAGTCCCTGCCGGGACACGGCGCTCGCATGAGTCGCCGGCCGCTTGACTCCAAAGGCTCTTTTCAGAGCCACCCACCTAATCACCAGAAAAGAGCTTTGTTCACTTATTTTCCCTCACTTGCTCTCACAAAGTAAGTTATTCTACTTGTGAAAGATCCTGGAAGATGGTACACGTAGCTTTTTAAGCCTTTCCTACTTGAGATCCTTGGCGCGTGACTGGCTTTGCTTTTTAATCTGGGGCGCGTCTTAACCCCGTAACTGTGGGGCTTAGTTTTCTTACAAGTCCTTTTCGAATTAGAATATTGAAAATCCGCTTCTCAACTTCCATCCCCAGACTGTTGTGTCCTGGTGACTCTGTTGGGTGCACGTTTCATCGGTGTTCTAAAACGAAACGAGTGGTTTCGGTCATCCTCACTTTTAAGGAGGGCCCCAGGACAACTAAACCCAGGTCCCGAGAACATTGCGTCAGACCCTTGAAGAATTCTCCCGAGCGTTTGGCAGCTGCGGGCGTCCAGTCACCACTTCTGCCCTGCTGTGTGGCCTCCGGTGGATACCAGCGGTCGGGACACTGAGGGTGGAGCCTGCGCTGCCTGGTCTTAGCCTTTCCCTGATTGGACGACATGAATATTCAAAATCGCGCGCCCTCTCCGGAATGCGTAGATTCTGGTTTCCGACGCTTGCTTTGGGGCTTTGACATCCCAATTATTTCTCGGTTTGTGGATCGTTTTTGCATTTAATTCTCTAGTCTCGGAACGCCCCGGCCTTGCGTCACTGCAAGGCGCTGGTCATTTAGGGCTGGGCTCAAAAAGTCACCTCTCAGAGACCTTTCCACGTCCCACTCAGGAATTTGCGTCTCGTTCCTGCCTATCATCTGATCTCATTGTTTTCTCTTCCTCCTAGCAGCTGTCAGAAATTGTCCGGTTCGTTTCTTATTTATGGTCTTTCTCCTCAAGCCCTTAACAGAGACTTGTTGGTCTGGTTTTCTGCTAAATTATCAGCGACAGTCTGCCTGGCACATGGTGGACACTTAAATTCTTAATTAAAATTTGTCAAATTAATTTTCCCACCCCATCCCTTTCTTAATCGCTTCCGTGGATGATGTGTGCCATTCATTTGCATTCGATAAATGTGAAGACGAAAACAAATGTTTTTGGAGCTCTTTGGCAAGTCAGCCCAGGGTCCCTTCAGGGCATTAGCTCTGAGGAGGCCTAGGTTAAGATTCTTTTTCTGCACCAAGATGGTGGTTGTGGTGGTTTTCCCATTATGCTTCTGGTGGTATAATCTCTTTTGGATTTTCACTAAATTCAGAGTATTGGTCGCTGGAAAGATCCTTTCCCCATCTCCTTTTCTGACACCCACCATCTCCATCCTGATACTCTGTTCCCCATGGAAGATGAGCTTTTAATTTATACTCCTCTTCTCACTTATCAGGAAGCCCTGAAAAGATCGTCCCTGCAAGACAGTCAAGACCAAATAACCTCTTTTACAAAGGAGGTTGAGAAAAGCAAAGGAATTGGTTCACCGGTCATGTAGTTAACATTGTTCACCTTTGTATCCTTAAATGCGCAGACAATTGCATTTTAGTTTTATTTCATGTAATTACAGAATGTTCACTCCTTCTGTCCAAGCCTTGATTTTTGCTGATGAAGACACTGATGCTCTGATCAGTTATTCAACTCTACTTTTGGCTAAGGGGTCCTGGAGTTGATCCTAAGGGTTTCACGAATCCAAGTGGACTCCAAACATTATCGTAAACTGAATTAATCTTATGTTTCCTACATGTGTTTTCAAATGTGTGTAGATGCTGTTGTTATTAATAAAATTACCCATTAATTTAAAAGCTTGCCTGGATTCCTTTTATCTGCGATATATTCTCTCATTAAATGAAGTTAGATAAAACTACTGCTGGGTCTGTGGAAAAGCTGTTTGCCTCTGACTTGGCAGATGACTATTTATAAGCCATTGGCCAAACTTACTTCTACCCAAGAGGTGCACTGGGGCTGAAGTAGCTTGTTATGAGGCCTAGTCACTTAAAAAGACATGACCGCAAATAAGAAGCATTATAAACAAGACAGAAGAAACGAAGTCCTTAAAAAAGTTTAACATCTATAGAGCACTTACCATGGACCAGACAACTGGTCTAGGCCTTTACACATAATTAATCCTCACAAGAACCTCATGAAATAGTCACCATTATTATCTCCCATTTTATAGATGAGGAAACTGAGGCACAGAGCGGCTTCTCTTCATATGCTCCAGAGAATAAACTCCTAGTTCAGGGTTTAAGGAATTTGAGAAAGTAAGATCAATCTCTAGAAGCCTTGGACCCCTCCCTGGAGTTTGGTGTGGGGGAGGGGGACTGTTTAGGCTTTAAAATGAAAATTAGAAGGAATATCACCTGCTTTATTCTCTTTAGGATGCATCCTGTGTATAAATCTATGGTGGTGACAGTGGTGGTGGCTGAAATCCCTGGGTTGGGACTGGGGGGTTCTGGTTCTCCAACCCAGAGGCCATACCTCAACTTACTTACCTGCTGGAATCCCTTTACTAGTATGAGAGAGTCTTGGTCATTGGTTTCAGGCTCCATCTGGGCATAGTGTTTATTAGGAAGGAAGTTGTAGAGCAGGGAAGGGGGAAAAGATGAATTTGGAATTTGGAATTTTAACTCTGGAGGGGAGCTAATTTAGGGATGGTGAGTTTAATCCTAAAGATCCTCTTTGATCACTTTTTCCTCCTGTCAAACATCTGTATACATTTGCTTATGTTGGGGTTAATAACAGTCATTGTTATAATAATAATAATTACTTCTACTTACTGAGCGCTTAACTGTTTCCAGGGTCCTCGGCCGAGGGCTTTACCTGCGTTGCCTCATTTCATCTTCGCAACCACTGTGAAAGTAGGTTCCGCTATTATCATCCTTATTTTATAGTTGGAGGAAACAGAGTCTCAGAGAAGTGAACTTGTCCGGGATCAGTGGGGAAGTGAATGATGGAACTGCAGTCCAATGTATGCTTTTAAAAAGCTTGATATTCGGGGTGCCTGGGTGGCTCAGTGGGTTAAGCCTCTGCCTTCGGCTCAGGTCATGATCTCAGGGTCCTGGGATCGAGTCCCACATTGGGCTCTCTACTCGGCAGGGAGCCTGCTTCCCCTCTCTCTCTGCCTACTTGTGATCTCTCTCTCTCTGTCAAATAAATAAATAAAAAATCTTAAAAAAAAAAAAAAAGCTTGATATTCAGGGGTGCCCGGGTGGCTCGGTTGGTTAAGTGTCTGACTCTTGATTTCTGCTCAGGTCATTGATGTCAGAGTTGTAAGATCGAGCCCGGGATGCCCAGTGCAGAGCCTGCTTAAGATTCTCCTCTGTCGGGCACCTGGGTGGCTCAGTGCGTTAAGCCGCTGCTTTCAGCTCAGGTCATGATCTCAGGGTCCTGGGATCGAGTCCCACATGGGGCTCTCTGCTCCGCAGGGAGCCTGTTTCCTCCTCTCTGCTTGCCTCTCTGTCCACTGTGATCTCTCTGTGTCAAATAAATAAAATCTTTAAAAAAAAAAAAAAGATTCTCCTCTGTCTCCCAGTCCCTCTGCCCCTCTCCACCAGCCCCTAAAACACAAAACAAAACGAGAAAACTAACAAAACAAAACAACAAACAACCTTGATATTCAAAACTCTCCAGAATCCGCCTCTCCCTGCTTTTATAGCCTGTTTCCTACTAGTCCCTGTGAGGTTAGGGAGGTTTTCTGCTCTCCTGAAAAGAGTCTGCTCACCTTCCACTAAGCCCATTTTGCTCAGGTCTGGACTGGACTGCCCCTTCCTTCTGGCTTGGCCAGAGCATTCTTTCAAGCCAAAGCTCTATCTTCCAGCTCAAGTGACACCTTCTTTTTTCTATCTTCCTTCCTTCATTTTTCTACCATATCCACCTGTACTTTTTTTTAAACATTATTGAGTTATAATTGGCATTCAATAAACTGCATGTTTAAAGTATAATTTGCTAAGTTTTGACATACATACATTATAAACCAATGAAAACATCACTACACTGAAAATAATGAACATATGCATCACCCCACCCCCAGAATTTCCTAGTCTCCCTTCATAATTCTTCTCTCTGCCCCCTTCACCAATGACCTACTTTGCCCCCATCCCTGCCCTCAGGCAACCACTGGTTATTATATATAATAACCACTGCTATTAGAGATAGTTTGACTTCTGAAGTTTTATGTAACTAGAATCCTACAGCATGTATCCTCTATGTCTGGCTTCTTTCACTCAAATTCCTTTTTATTTTTTTTAAGAGATTTTATTTATTTACTTCTGAAACAGAGAGAGAGCATGAGCAGAGAGAGGGGCAGAGGGAGAATCAGATTCCCCACTGAGCAGGGAGGGAGCCCGATGACGGGCTTGATCCCGAGACCCTGGCACCAAGACCTGAGCCCAAGGCAGATGTTTAACCGACTGAGCCACCCAGGTGCCCTCTGTTCACTTGCTGATGGATAGCTGGATTCCAGTTCTTCCACTTTGTAATACACTCCAATTTTGTATCGTGATAGTTCCACAGATGAACACAATAAACTTTTTGCCCTCAATTGGGAAGGATCTCAGATGGGGCATGAGACCTATACACAAATATATTCTGTTCAAATGGGAGAAAGTGTTAGGGTTACACCTCCCCTCTCCTGGGCTCACACCTCTCACATCCATTCCAGGTTCCACAGCTAGCGCAGCCTTCCAAGCACAGAGCTGATCTCATCACCCACCTGCTCATAAACCTCCAGTGGTCTCCCTCACTGCCTCAGTTGGGCTTTCACAAGAAAATAAATGAAACAAAAAATGTAAAACTTTATCAGTAATTCTTATACCATATTTGGCTTCGTAGCGCGGTCCACATGGCTCACAATATGTCCAATCAGAATTTACCGCAGAATTTACTGCAGAGAGGGTAAGACTGACGGCCAGCTCTGTTTAATTCTCAGTAAGTGACCCTAAACTGGGAGACTGTCCCTGTGCCTGGGGAGACTACATTTCATCATTCACATGGGTGATGGGAAATCTGTATTTACTAATTTTGTAAAAGTTTTTAAGTATCTATTGATAGTGATAGTATTAAGTTCTGTAAGAAAGACTCTCTAA